ACTCCCTGGATGATGGAAATGGACTCCATGGGGAGCAGCCAGGTTGGAGTGGATTTTGAGGAGTAAAGTGGGTGGACCAGAACTGGCAATTTAGAGGATACTTACATTTGATTTATTAGTAGCTCCAGGCCCCATAAACATTAAAAAAGCCATTAAAGTAGCAGTTAATTTTTTTTCTCTCAATAAAATTGCCTGGACTTGACAACCATGACCGATTCCCTCCGTTGCCATTGTCACGCTGCCAGTCTGCATGGGGAAGAAAATTAAACAAAAATGAAGTGATTGTGTGCTAATCTCGGATTTATTGTAGGGTTTTGTGTATGAGCCCCTTCCCCAGTCGATGCTCTGTGGAGAGCTGAGGCTTCGTTGTTGTGCCCGTGACTAAACAAATCTTTTCCTCCAGTTTTCACTGACCTACCCCAGACTGCAGATGCCATTAAGGGAAGGCACCAAACCCTGTGGATCATGAGGCCAATTACAAATGCAGATTTATGTGACCAAGTGGGGTCCCCTGGCTCTGAGACTGGGGTGTGGGGCCCAGCTGTGGGGTCATCAACCCAGGTCTGTGCTGAGCTGGATGTGTCTCCATCTCCCACATCCAGGCTTTTGGTTGCCAAAAGCAGAGCAATAGCAGTGACAGCAGAATCCTCGAAAAGATGCAAATTGTCTCAAATGCACTGAGGGGGAAAAAGAAAAAGAGCTTTGTATGCACAGAGAGCCTTCAGCTGGAGCTCTGCTTGGGATGTTTGCAGGAGCCTTTGGAGTGTGTTTGGGTTTTGCATCTGTTGCTTTTAATAGCGGACACATCCTGGTCCCCGTCCTGGTCCCCGTCCTCCCTCCCACCATTGCCCAGGCAGGGGCTGCTCACGGCAGCACCGGCGTGAGCCGAGCGAGGCGTTGGGGCCACGGCTGCTGGCCCAGCCACGCTTCCCTCACGGAACAGTCCATGCCTCAGGCCCTTCCTTAGCTGGAATGAGAGCGTGGACAGACGCCAGGCTCTGGGGAAGAAGCAGCATCTGAAAATTGGGTAGTTAAATGCCTGCAGAGTGTCCTGCTGGAGGAGGAATCTGGCAGATTTTGGCAGCGCTGCCTTTGGCACACTCGCTTTGGGGTCACCTCAGTAGCAGGAGGGGATGCTGCTGCTGCCAGGTAACCTCTGACTGTGCTTTTCTCCTTTAATGACAAACCTGGAGCCTCACGGGCTGTTTAATTACACTGCAAGAGGTGAAGCGTGACCAAAGCCGACCCTTCCTCCAAGAACTCCTTTCTCTGGGGGGTCGGGTGCACCAGCATCCCGGCAGACCAGGAGAGGACATGGGTCACTTGGCAGATCCCTGCCCTCCCTCGGGCGATGCAGAGGGCTGAGGTGGGGTCCAGGAGTGCCCCTCATGGTGGTGTGTGTTTGTGCCTCTCCACAGAGGGGGCTGTGTTTGGCTCAGAGGAAGCTGGAGGCCAGGTTGGGGAATGAAGGTCCCTCTGACCACTTAGCAACCATTCTGTGCCAGTGGGAGCTGGGATGGGACTCGCCTTACCTGGTTTCAGATGTCTGACTGAGCTGATCTTTTGGCTCTTTGGGTTGCCAGCAGGAGCAGAGGAGTTCTGTCCTGGGTCATGTGTTGTGCTCCCCATGTCCCTTCCCTGGCTGAGTGCATGAGCTCAGGGAGGAAATTGTGCTTCTGTGTCCATTGCCAAGAAAAAAATTCAGCTTCCACTTTTTGGGGGACTTTTTTAGGGATCATCCCAGTTCTTCTGGGAATAAAAAATTGCCAAAGGTTTTCCTACCAAGGCTGACGGATGTGTGCACATGGTGCTGCACTGAAACCTGGATTAGTGCGGGGATGTATGGTCCAGGGACAAACCCTTCACAAGCCACCTGCAGTGCAGAAGTGCCAAGGGCTGGTTCCTGACAGAGCACAAGGTGAGGTGTTGGGATGAAGAGGCTGTCGGATGCCCCTTCCTCCCCCAGGGTGGGTGAAAGTGAGAGCTCTGGCCCAGGTCAGCCCCGAGCCACCCTTGCTCCACTCAGAGCTGGGGCAGCTGGGAGGAACACGCACTTGTCACAAGGAATAAAATTGGAAACACGTCTTGGGAAAGTCGTTTTGATTCTAATTGGCATTTCTGAGGCTGCTGCTGGAGGCTCCTGGACTGGGCTGATGCCAGAGCACATCCCAGAGCTCTGCTCTCCACACTGAGCCCGTCCTCAGAGGACCCAGAGAGGGGCTTGTGAGAGTCAGGGCCGATCTGTGCCCTCATCAGGGCATCTGCTGACCTGTGGCAGCACCAACAGGGACCTTTGGGTAAAACCAAAAAGCAGCAGTGGTCCAGGCAGAGCAGCTCTGTCCCTTGGCTCTGAGGGTGTGTTGGGTGCAGACAGGTTTAAAGTCTGGTTTAAGCAGCTCCTCTGTACAGCTGGCAAAGGTTAAAAGATCTCCAGTGTCTTTGCATTTAATTATCTCTTTTAGTGGCAGATTATTGTTTTTCATGGGAGATGAAATCTGGATGGGTTTGAAGGACATTTCTCCTGCACCAGGGGCTGAAATGATTTGTTCAGAGCTGCTACGCTTCGTCTATCCTTGTTAAGTACCCAGGGAATATGGACTGGCACCAAGGGAATTTAATGTGACATATAAAAATAAGGAGTGTTGGAGAAAGCTGTAGGCTTCACAGTATTTAACTACCTTGTATCCTTGCTACATAGCAAGCAGCTTTCCTTGAATTTGAGATGCCAAAGGTGGAAGAACACCTACTGCCTTGCTGTGGGGCTGGCACTGGTACCCTGGGAGAGCAAGAGCCTCTATCCCTGTGCTGCTCATGTGGCAGTGTGGCTGTGCTAAGGGGGATTAGCACCAAAGGGCTCAACGTTGGAAAGTTAAGCATGAGTGAAAATGTAAATAGGCTCAGCAAGCTTTTTTAGTTTTTATACATGAAAATTACACATCACCATTGTCACAACTCATTTGGTTGCCAACCGTTCCTGCTGTCCGGGTGGCACGAAGGGAAGGGCTGGCTGTGAGCTCTGCCCTTGCCAGCATTGTCTCTGTGCCTCCCCAGCTCCCAACCCCGGCTCTCTACAGAGGGATGGAGCTGCAGGGCACCAAGATGGGCAGGATGGGAGAGAGAGCAGGCTCAGGCAGCAGGAACTGCATATTTTGGGTACCCGAGGTGTGATGATAACCTACTTGGGGACTTCAGTCCCTCCCCGTGCTCCTCCCCAGGCAGGTCAGTAGTAGCTCTCCAGACTACTCACAGGAGAAATCCCATCACTTGCTCTAGCCCTCTTTGTCCTTTTCAAAAAGCCCTTCTGAAGCCTCTCCCTCTGGGAGATGAATTCCTCTCACGTACACTGCCTCCAAGGACCTTCTGGCAACCCCTACAGCAGTGCTGCAGCATCAACAGTGCCAGGTGAGGTGCCTGTCAGGGGAGTTAATCCCCTTTAATCTGTTCCCTCCTCCCCTGAGCCGAGCACACAATTTCCTGCTGTTACAGGAACGTACATTAAATGTGGCTCTTTGGCTTAAAATTTGTGAGAAAGGGGAGGGATGTTTCCATCTTTCTGGTGGGATGCTGCTGCACACCAGCCAGAGGTCACTGCCCCAGCAGCAGCAGCAGCCCCTTGTGTTACTCACGGGGGGGGAATTTGTTTACAATCTGACAGAGCTGCTCTCGTGCACCAAAGGGGCACCCTGGAGCCTTCAGCATCAGTCTGCCTCTTACTCATTTTGTGCAGTTGAGGGGTGCACAGAACAGCTCCTGTGACGTGGTTCCATCCATGCATGGTGTGTTATGTGCAGCATCACCACCCAGGTGAGCCCTGGTGTCCTGACTCCTCCTGCTGTTTAAACAACTCTCAGACAAATGTCTTTGTGCTGCAGCTGTTGGCTCAAGCTCTGCCATGGTGCTGCCCCCCAGCCCTCCAGGAATCGAGTGTCTGGAGTCCAGGCTGCCAAGGAAGAGAGATGCAGTGGAGCCACAGCCACGGGCTGTGGAGACCTCTGCCTCCCACCCCCCCTGCTCTTGTGTGCTAAATGACTGTAGTCTGGGCTCCAGGGCAGCTCTCCTGTGACCTGGGCATCTCTTACCTGTGGCATTCATTCCCTGTTTCCCTGAACACTTTTCTGCGGCTGAGGGAAGCAGCTCCTGGGCAGAGCCGTGTGGTGTCCTGCCCTGCTGTCATTGTGCCAGGCTGTGGCAGGGGCGGGAGTGATGCTGCTGAACAGGGGCTCATGAACCAGGCAGGAGCAGGGACATGCTGGGGGCAGGGATGGCTGCTCGGTGGGCAGCTCACTGCCTTCAGCTGCTGCATTTAAGCAGATTTCACTCAGCAAAGCACACAATCTGAAATCCCACAAACGTGTGGATGGGAAGGAATAGGAAGCACTTGCTGCCCTTTGTGGGGGAGGCCTGACAACCTGCCCCTCACCTTCTCCCCAGCCTGGCCGGCCCGCCCCCCCACAGCAGCCTTTAATTGGGTTTCTCTTAAAAAAAACAAAATGTGGAACAGTGAAGCACTGTCAGCACAGACCTTCTGCTGGGACTCTCTGGGGAGCAGAGGGAGGCAGGGCCAGGGAGGGGGTTCGGGCTCGAGCTGAAACCTTTGGTCACGCAGCAGTGTGGCTCTGCCAGCTGTGGGGAGACGTGCCCAGGCTTCCCGCTGAGCTCTGCCCAGGTATGAGGGCAGGGAATCAGGTTGTGGTGGGTGGAGGCTCTTAAATGGGGGCAGAGTCTGTGTGCTCCTGCTCTGCAGGGGGAAGGGGGCAGAAAATGGGCTTTAACAGTGCAGTGTGTGGTGACTGGAGCATCTCTGCCAGAGCGGGTGGCTGCCTTCTGCCCGGGGCTGGAGGAGACACCTGACCTTCCCCTGCTCCCAGGGAAGGCAGTACAGGTTTCTCTGTGGCTGTGGAGGGAGGCTGAGCAGAGCTGAGGGCCCCTGCTCGGGCATGGAGGGGGCTGGGGTTTGTTGTCCCCTGCTCCCGTGTCACTCCCTCCTGTCCCCCCCACAGGGCTGTAATGTCATGGAAGACCAGGACCTTCGGGACATTGGGATCGGGGACCCGCAGCACCGCCGGAAGCTGCTCCAGGCTGCTCGTTCCCTCCCGAAGGTGAGCACCGATGCCCTCCATGGAGCAGGGACAGGGCTTTGCCCAGCACGGCTGTGAACTCAGGGGAAAACAAAAGCCAGTCCCTGTGTCTCTGGCCACAAAGGGATCTCAGGGGCTATGGGAAGGGTTCTGGGAATAGCAGGGAAGAGGAGGATTATATTGGTCTGCCAGGCTATGCGGATGGTGGTGGCTCCATGCTGGGGAGAGGGTGGCTGTTCCTCCTGCCAGTCCCAAGAGCATTTCTTGTTTATACAGTGATTTTGTTACTGTAAAGTGCTAGTGGAGATGTGCTGTAAACTGATTTTCATTGACCCCGTATCCCTCAGGATCCCTGCAGCTTTTAACCCCTTTCTTGTGTTTTCACAGTTGAAACCCCTGGGCTGTGATGGGAACAGCCAACCGTCAGTTCCTGCATGGCTCGACTCCCTGGGGCTGCAGGATTACATCCAGTCCTTCCTCTCGAGTGGCTACAGCTCTATTGACACTGTGAAAAACCTCTGGGAGCTTGAGATAGTAAATGTGAGTGTTGCCTCTCTCTGGCCAGGGCACCAAGGTCCTACCCCCTTCCCTGGGGCTGAGACTTGCCATGAGTCGTCTCACGAAGCCACTTTGTGCCAAGGGCAGGAGAGCCCACGGTGACCGTGGTCTGTCCCTGCAGGTGCTGAAGGTGAACCTGCTGGGCCATCGGAAGAGGATCATCGCCTCCCTGGCAGACAGGCCCTACGAGGAGCCCCCGGCCAAGCCGCCGCGGTTCTCACAGCTGAGAGTGAGTCCCTGCTCGTGGTCCTTGCCTGGCTCATGTGGCTGTGAGGGCATGTCAGTGCTGGGAGAAACGTCCAGTGTGCCTGTTCAGCTCCTCACCTCATCCTCTCCAGCCACCCAGGCAGCAGATACCAGTGCAGGCGTGACCCTGTGATTGCAGTGAGTGGGGGAAGGTCACACCCAGCCCTTGCAGGTCAGCCTCTGGATGCTGTCCCACAGGGAAGGTCAGGCCACTCCTTGGGATCAGGTGCCTGCACTGAAGGGGTATAGGGTGCCACCCCCACCTCTGCCCTGCACCAAGGGGAATGCTGAGCCCACTTCCTCACCCTTGTTTCCTGGCCAGACATGCAGCAGTCTTTGGCAGGCAGGAGTGACCCAGCCCATCTGGAGAAGGGCTGCAGCTGGGGCCTGGTGTTTGATTGCACCGTTGGGAGCCGGAACCCATCTCCCTGGCCTGGCTGGGCTGCTGAGAGCTCACACTGTCACTGCCAAATAGCACTCAATGAGATGTGTGGATGTTGATTTTTGCTGCAGGAGTGGCAGCATTTGGATGTCAGGCCCTTGTTATGGGAGTCGTCTGGGAGGGAGCTGTCACGTTCCCATTCTTCCTGAAAACTGAGAACTGAGTTTGGCAAAAGCCACGGGGCTCGCAGCGACCCTGAGAGCTCAGGAGTGTGGTGGTGTGTGCTGCTGCCTTCTCCCAGTGATTGCAAATCAGCTTCCTGGAGCAGGAATTGGAATGATTAGTTTTTCCCCATCCTAAGCATCCCGTTCTTGCTCTGCTGCAGAGCTCTGCATTCTTGTCCTGCGTTCCCAAGTCTTCCCAACACAAACAGCCTTAGCCAAAGTGAGTTGGGCTGCTGTGCCCTGCTTGCTCACATGGGATATTTTAGGAACCAGGTTCAGGTGTGAGAACAGAGAGGGTTCACATTGGTGCTGCACCAGGAGAGTGCCAGGCCTTTGCCCACTGCTCATCCCCATGAGATGGATGAGACTGAAGGCAGCAGGGCTGGGGGGGGAAGAAGGATCCTTTGGTGCAGCTCAGCTGATTGAGATGCTGCCCATGGAGGCTGGGTGAGAGAATGGGCCATTTGCAGCATTTCCTGGCGCTGCAGCTGGTGGATCCAGCGCTGGCTCCGGCGCAGGGGGCGGAGGGACGTCAATGGCAAATCAAGGGAGTGGGTTGAATGGGACTGAATGGGACTAATGTGGCTGCAGCTGTGCGGGGGCTGCCAGGCCAACCTCCCACTCTGCTCCAGGGGCTCCACTCCTGGGCTGGCTGATCATCAGCACCCTCGGGTGCTTTGCTCAGTGCTTTAGGGGAGCCCGTTCCTCTGTAAACACCCTGCCTGCAGCCCGGTGTGTCCCCTGCCCCTGGGATGAGCTCGCAGAGGCAGAGGTGTGCTGGGCAGAAGGGGCTGCATACCTGGCTCAAACCATCCTTGAGCAAATTATCAGTCTCGTGCAGAAGATAAAGGGTGGGATCATTGGCACTGAGGCAGGAGCCCCCAGAGCAGGAGCTGACCCCATTAGCTCTGCTCTCTGCACCCTGTGCCAGGCAGTGTAGAGGGGAGTGATGGGGGGCACAGCCCAAACTGACTGGGAGCCTTCATGGTGTCTGTTCTTTTCAGTGCCAGGACTTGATGTCCCAGACCTCATCGCCCCTGAGCCAGAATGACTCCTGCACAGGCAGATCTGCTGATCTCCTGCTGCCCTCCGGGGACACCAGCAAGAGGCAACACGACCGTGGCACTGAGGTTGCTCCCTACTCCAGAGCTGAGCGCTACAAAGCACAGGTCAGTGGGTGCTTTTGTGTGTCCAGGTGGCCTTCTGTGCAGGCTCCCCTCCCTCTGGAGCCAGGGAGGAGGTAGGGTGATGCAGAGCTGGTCGAGCTCAGCTTTCCTCAAGCATTAGAGGCAGCAGCTCCTTTATGCCTCAGTTTCACCTCAAAAACAGGCAGCTCATGCTTCCATCAGAGCTGGCACCTTCACCTGCCATGTGCTGCCTTCACCCAACCCCTGGGGGACTTGGCCATTGCCAACCTCAATCACCTCAGCCCAAAGAGCCCTCCTGAGAGTTGTTTCAACCCAGGTTGGACCTGTTGTGGCTTCACATCCATGTTTCTTCCTTCCAGGAGGACCGTCGGGAATCCAAGCTGACCCTGCGCCCCCCCCAGCCTGGCTGCCCCATATGCCCCAGTCCAAAACTGGCAGCACCAACCTGAGAAGCTCATCTTTGAGTCCTGCGGGTACGAGGCCAATGTAAGTGGCTTTTGGCTTGTGGGTGTGATGAGGATGAGGAGGCTCTGAGGTCAGGCCATTGCATGTGGAGTTGCAGGGCCATGGCATTGCCTTGGCAGGGTTTAACATCTCCCCCTCCTCCAAACAGTACTTGGGCTCCATGTTGATCAAAGACCTCCGAGGGACAGAGTCTACACAGGATGCTTGTGCCAAGATGAGGGTACGGAGGCCCTGGGGCTGCTTGCAGCCTGTGGTGGATGATGTGGATTGGGGGATGGGGGATCTCAGTGAAGCTGTGGTTCCCCAAACCCTGCGGGGGCCCAGACCACCAAACAGGTGGTGCCGCTGTCGCTGCTGAACTGCCCCTCCCCAGCACTGTTCCCTGTAGCTGGAAGGTCTGTGCAGTGGGAGACTGGGTGTTTTCATTGGGGAAGGGGTGGCTGGGTTCACTTCAGGTCCCCATCCCTCCCCTTCTGTTTCCACCGGGAGCTTGCTTTCCTCCTTCTGGTCCAAGACCCCCAAAACCTGCCTGTATGGGCCTGGGGTCTCTGGGGTGGGCTGGGGCAGGGGTGAAAAAGGGAGCATCCATTCACAGCTGATCACTTGAATGTTCTTGTTTCTGAAGAAATCCACGGAGCACATGAAGAAGGTCCCGACCATAATCTTGTCTATCACATACAAAGGGGTGAAGTTCATCGATGCCTCCAACAAGGTGAGCTGCAGATGCCTTGGAGTTGGTGTCTGGAGGGACAAGACCTGCAGTCCCACCTGCCTGGGGGCTGCAGGTCACTTTTTGTGGCTCCAGAAGCCACGGCTGGTCCTGGGGAACTGCTCAGGCTGTGGGGGAGCACCAAGGTGATGATGGTTACCTAAGTGCCAAAGGCTTGGCAGACTAGCTGTTTGTGGACCATGTTGCCATTTATTCTTGCCATGGGAAGGAGCTGGCTGGGAGACTCCCCCTCCCTGCCCCCAGGACACACTCCACAGCCACCGTTTGCTGGGTGTATTTGCCATCCCCAGAAGGGTGACAGGTGCTTGTGGTTGACCCTGGCAGAATGTCATTGCTGAGCACGAGATCCGGAACATCTCCTGTGCTGCTCAGGACCCCGAGGATCTCTGCACATTTGCCTACATCACCAAGGATCTGCAGACCAGCCACCACTACTGCCATGTCTTCAGCACTGTGGATGTGGTGAGTGGGTTACTGCATTGCGTCTCCCAGTCCTTTACAGTCCACTTGTTTTATCTCTCAGCTTTGTTAGCAAGTCACAGACCAGGATCTAGTCCCTTCTAGGGTTCCTTCACCATTTCTACCCTAAAACAGTGCTGGCTCCAAATGCCTTTACTTTGGACCTCTGTGGACAGTATTTGTCTGGCTTCGTTCCTGCAGTCTCCAGCACTGAATAAAGCAGGGCAGGAGTTTTCCCTTCTGGGGAATGTGCCATGCACAAACCCCTCACATGCTCTCAATTATGTTGAGCATAATGGGCTGATTTAACAACCTTTTAACTCACTAAGAAGGTGGAAGCATGATTTGCTTTTATACTTGGGCCAAATCAACTGCATGAGATGTTTGGGCTTTTTTTCTTTACGCTGCTGAACTGTGGTGCTGGTGGGGCCAAGAGGCAGGCAGGAGGTCCTGGGGGAGGTGTGGGGACTGTGCACAGGGTGACCTGACGGCTTTGTGCTCTGTGTTCTCTCCAAGAACCTGACGTACGAGATCATCCTCACGTTGGGGCAGGCGTTCGAGGTTGCCTACCAGCTGGCCCTCCAAGCCCAGAGAGCAAAGCCTCTTGGTGCTGGAGCAGGAGAAACGATTGAAACAAAATCTTCCAAACCAGTGCCTAAACCGCGAGCCGGCATGAGGAAATCTGCGGTACGTGTGTGCGGGAGGGAGCGACTGCTGGTCTGAGCTGGGCTTTCCCTTGGGCACCACACGCTTACACCTCCCCTGGGTGGTGGGGGGAGCCCAGGTGTGGCTGAGGTGCCTGTCAGTGCAGGTGCTGCTGACACTGCAGGTCTGTGCCTCTGTCAGTCCTGTGGTGGGGTTGGGGCTTCCCCCGGCAGGGGGAGGGCAGGCAGAGGTGGAAATGGCCTGGTGGAATGAGGCTTAAGGGCCCTGCTGGGTCCAGCACAGCTTCCATGTGCAAACCCTGCAGAGCCACAGTGACATCCATAGGTGACCTGCAGTTTGCAGTACAAGATTCCTCTGTAGCCAAAACCAGCCAAGACTGGAGCTGCCGAGGAGCAGGGACTGCTGCCATAAGCCACTGCCTTCCTTTAATGTCTCCTTTTGTCTGTGTTCTGCTTGCTCCCCCCGCTCAGGTGCCGCTCCCTCCCGACACCCGCTGTTGTTACTGTCACACCTGTACAACACACCGCCCCTCCTACCTGCCGCTGCAGTCTGTTAGTCCCGGAGCGAAGGTCTTTACCCTTCTTCCTGCCATCCTCCCTTCTGAACTGACCCGGGCTGCCTCCCCACTCCCTGTGTCTCCTGCTGTGCTCCCATGTCCTGCCTCGCTGCTGTCCTCCCCCTGCTCGTTCCAGCCCGTGCCGTGGGTTCAGACAAGCCCCAGGGATGTGCTGCTCCCACCTGCTCCTGCTCAGCAGCGTGGCAGCTCTCAGCTAGCTCTGCTGCTCTTGCTGGTGGTGGTAACTTCTCTGTGGCACCCTGATTTAGGAGGACAAAGGGAAAGAGCCGTGCTTGGTCAGGAGAGTAAATCACACGGGAGGTCACCTGCCAGGAGCTGTCTCCTTCTCTCCTGTTTTTGTAGTGCTCCGTTTTTCATGCTTGTTTGAGATGAGTTAAGCTGTCACCGAGGGTGACAGGGACTCGCAGCCTAATGCAGGAAGTCATCTCGGGGTGCTGGGTTGAGACTGACGTGGCCAGACATGTTTTAGATGTGAAGGACTCAAATGTCTCCCCAGCAAGAGCTGCTTCCTTGCCCACGTGCACGTTTCTGGGACAGGCAGTAGGCAGAGCAGCAGTTGCTCTGTGCTTTGAATCCCCACTTGTTCTGTCCCAGAAGCATGGGTGACCTAACATGCCCTTTTCTCCGTATTTTCTAGCTGGATCCCCCTGAAGTGGACCAAGACTCTCAGTCTCATGCCAGTGTCTCCTGGGTCGTGGACCCCAAGCAGGACTCCAAGCGGACCCTCAGCACTAAGTATGAGACCACTATCTTCTAAAGCCGACACCGCGTCCGCCCCGTCTAACCGTGCCTTTGCGATCTGATCTGTCTGCTCTTCTAAACTCCCTCTTCCTCCAGCTGCTCGCCCTGAGCCCGTGTAGGCACCACGTCCAAGGCAGCAGCACTTAGGAGACTGTAGACTTAAACAGCTTTTGTACCTGATCGCTGCTGAACACTGTGAATCTCCTTACTCGGAAACAAGGGTAACGCGCTGTAGCTGAATGTGAGGCGGGAGGAGCAGAGGGCAGGCTGGGAGTCGGAGATGTGGATCCAGGAGAGCCGCCTGCCGTTTTCACGTCTTCCCCCTCGCTCTGGCACTGTGAATCCCTGGGGCAATGTGACACTCCCCAGGCCTTTTTTTCTATCTCACCTTGTCCTTGGACTGATGGAGACCTCTTGTCTCTGCGGTGCACACACTCCCTTCTCCTAGATCCTCCTCTTCCCGACTGAGCCACGGCTGTATACTGTTCAGTGAACTCACCTCTCCTTCCCTGCCAGTCCAGTTGACACTAACCACTGTGATGCTCTCTGCAAATAACACGCGGGCACTCCATTTCTCACGGTGACCCTTGCCCGCAGCCTCGCTCCTCAAAGCCCGGCACAGAACCCACTCCGCTGGGGGAGCGCTGGTTTGGGCCGGGTGTGATCGTTCCCACTGTGAGCTCTGCCCCTCGGAGATGAGGGGGGGGTTGGTTGCGTGCATTTCAGTCCCTCGTAGGTTTTTCTTCACCCCATAGTCCTCCTGTTTACACTCATCAGACTACTCGTGAGCTCTGGGCGCAGTTCTCATGGGGCAGCCTGTGGTTAAGCTTCCAAAGGCACATGTTGCTGTTAGCCCCGGGCTGGGGAGGGGAGGTGTGGGCTGGACACCGAAAGCAGCAGTTGGCATCAGCAGGGAGAGGTCAGGGAGCAGCCCTGGGTTATTTGCTCCTCATGTTAAGGGCAGCAGCAGCTTGTCCAAGCTTTGCTGGGGCTTTGGAGCTGCTGTGTCGAAGCTTCCATTTCCCCAGACTTGCGGCCAAATCTGACGTTTCAAAGTCTTTATTTAGCTCTTTCTCAGGAAGGAGTTTGATCTCCCAAGTCATTTGTGACTTAATGGCACTGAGTGGCAAACTGACTTCAGACTGAGGGCTGTGCTAGTGAGGATCCAAGCAAGAGGACTAAAAGTAAAAGGAAAGCTCAGTCTAGTAAATACATTTCATGTGCCACAGAGCCCCAATATAGAGCCAGCACTGCCCCAGGTGCTGCAGTGCCACCCTGCCAGCCCAGGCCTTGTGGACAGAACATTACTGTGCCTCAGGTGCTCCTCGAGGCTGGGTTTGGGTTCCATCAGCAAAATTCCAAGCTGTAAGAGTGCCCTAAGGTTTCTGTATCCCTCAAAGAGAAACTGCCTCACTGGTGGGGGTGGCAGTGCAGATTCTACGTGTAGGCATTCACCATGCAGTCGCCACACGTCCACCCGACTTCAGAGGGTCTGAGCTTTTCATCTCCCCCTGCTCTCAGCTGGGAAGGGCAGGTTCCTCCACACTTCCTAAATCTGGGTCACTAGAGCATGTGCCTTTCTAAGGGTGACCAAGCCCAGCAGGGATCACAGGCAGCCCTGCCCAAGCCACGACACTGCCAGTGTGTGTGTCTGTAGCCCTCACTCTCGTGTCCCATCTCCGGGGCCACTCGCCTCGTCTTTCCCAGCACGTGTTTTTGTATGACTTGGAAATTCATTCCATTATCTCCCTTTCTGTTTGCCTCTGCGAAGCTGAGCTCCAGGCAGCCGTCTCCTACCATGGAATGTAGTTACGGGGCAGAGACCTGGGACGCAGCGGCTGCTGACATGAAGATCATCTCCCTCTGGCACAGGCGGCTGCCTTGGAGTGGGTGCGTGGCTGCTCGGTGAGGGCTCCCAGAGCAGAGGGGGAAGGGACTCAGCCCCCGCTGAGGAAAACCACTCTCTCCTTTCCTAGCGAAGGAAACTTGAGACTTGGAGGCAGAGAGCGATGTCGCCTTTTCTAGTTTGAGACAGACGTCTTTCGACCTGTTTCTTTTTTAACGTGTGAAGTGACACAGAGCAAATGCAGTTCACGGTTTCAATGTAGCACCGCAGCTTTTTGTTGAGGAAAAAACCCGAAATATTTACTGAGAATCCCACAGTCCAGCGAGGAGTACGATAGAAAGTCTTAGCAGGGGCATGGTGTGCACATCTCTGACGGTACTTACTCTGCTTCAGCTCTGGGTGAACAGGAGAGAACGTCAAACTCTTGGATATTGCTTCCTCCCGTGTGAGAACCGTGCGGGGTAAGTCTGCATCCTGTTCTCCAAGCCACTCCATGCTTTTGTAGCAAATGGAAGTAACTTGAGGAAAAGAGTCTGCAAAGGATCTTTCCCCCCAGAGCGGTTGTGGCCAATATCCCCAATGGTACAATGCTTCCTTATCCCCTGAACTGTCGCGTTGCAATACTTGACATTTCTATGGCAAGGACCCCGTTTCTTCCTATTTCCACATTGAATTCCTGGGGACGACTCCCTCCTCCAGCCTCTGTGCACCTGTCTTGTTTTTAAATGCAGTTATGCCCTGAAGGGTTGGGGGTTTTTAAGTATATTCAATTGTGATTTAGCACTTTTTTGATACTAGCTCATTATTTAATTAGTGCAACAGTTTCAGAAGATGAACAAATAAGGAGTTAAACTTTGGGCATTACACTGAAACAGTCCATTCCTGAGGATAAACCACATCAGCCTGAGGGTGGCTTGGCCCTGTGCAAGCCCAGTGTCCCCAAAGACACAACCTCGAAGGGGCTGTGTGCTTGCTTTTCTTTTGAATTACAGAGTGTTTAACAGTGGTTTGGGCTGTGACTGACGTGTTTTCAGACTGTTCCCCTCAGGGGAGAATATTAATATAGTTGTGATTTAAATTCTTCAGATGCAAAATGTAGCGCAGTGCATCCGTTACGATCTTGTCAGGCCTTATCAGGGCTGTGGGACCTGCTGCTGCATGGGAACACTGTGCCCAGGTAATTCCTGTTTAACTCCACTTGCTGCTGTATGTCAGGATTTCCTTTAATCTCTCTCACAGTGAGGCTGGGAGAGAAGCAAACCGTGATCCCGAGGGCTCAGACCTGCAAAGGATTGGGAGGGAGAAGTGAAGATTTTGGGTGAAGTTGATGAATTTAGGAAACCTAACATTCCTTGTTATGCACATGTTGCAATTCATACTGGTGTTAAGTGTAAATATTTGGTGTGTTGGCAACAAGTTGTTGGCGAGATTGCAAATTGAACCTCTGTTTGGGAGGTTTCTTTTCTGACACGTGAGCTTTTTGGAGGTTGGCTTGGAGATGACATGGTGATGAAGACTCCAATCTTCAGGGACTGGGCTCAGTGACCCTGGTGGTCCATTCCAGCCCCACGTGTAACCCTGTGGTTGTCTTTAGTGATCCAACCGTTCTTTAGCCAGATACTCCCTTTCTCACCTGACAGAACAGTTGTTTTAGCAGTTCAGTGTGGTGGGATCTCTCAAGGGAGTCAGTGCTGGAGACTGACCCTGGGCCGTGCCAATTGCTGGCTCCTGGCCACATTAACCCACCCACTGCACAGTATTCGGGCTCTTCCTCCCTGCAGGGTTTTGTGGTATCTGGAGGAAAGTGCCCCAAATTTCTGGTGCTGAATATGACTTTGCATCAAACTGCATCTGCTGTATTTACCTGCCTGGGGGAAGGTGGGGCTGCCCTGGGCCTTGTTCCCCTCTTTAAGGACAGATTGTGTTTCACAGACTTTGGTTTGTGGGCTGAGCCCTCACTCACGGCCGGCAAACGGAGATGCTGAGTTTTGTCTTTTTTTATATAGGAGGGGATGATTTTTTTTTTTTTTTCAAATTGAATATGCTTTATCCTTTTTTATTTTGTGTTTACAAAGAAAAAAACAGCGCTAATCTTAGCTGTTCCGCTGACTTTAAACTTGCTTTGGGGTTGTTCTTTTTAGAAGAAATTATGCAACCTTTTTGGGGTACACGCCTGTCCCCCTCCCAGGGAGAAGATATGGCACCTTCCAGGCTGTACATGTCGTGAATTCTGTACCTTCAGGAGGCTGCTGAGACGCAGAGCAGATGCCAAATAGCACCAGAACACGTCCCGTTCTGTGTGCAGCTGAGGTGGAGCCAATGCTTTAATGCTCCTTCCACCCACCTCATAAGTTTCCAGCAGCAGCGTTTCCCCGGCTCTGCTCACATCAGTGGTTTGGAGCCGGTACAGCGCTCACAACGCTGCCTTGTTGCAAAGGTCTCCCTTTTAGGTCTCGCATTGGTATTACTTAATTGCATTTTTTTCCCAAAAGAAAGTACCTGTGCTGCTCTCACTAAGTCAACCCAGCTCAGACATTTTTCTTACCCATGAAAGAATAACCTGGGATTCCCTGACAGGGTAGAGACAGTCAAGTTCAGTTTGCAATGTGGAGATTTTTGCTAATTGTGATGTATGGCAGTGGGGCTGATTTGTATACAAATGTTATTTAATCTGTCTGTATTTTGATACTTGAATTTCCTTTTATTTCTTGTATATACAATTGTTAATCTGTTCGAATTTGTCTGAATTTTAAACATCTTGTGGTACCAAACGTAACCAATCTGTGCAACAACATAGACTGACCTCACTACAACAAGGCGAGATTGTAAATATTCCTGGGCTTCCAGCAGTCGTTTTGTTGTTTTCATAATTGTACAACTTAGAACAGACCGAATTAATAAACAACCTTAGACACACGTTTGTGCTGTTGTCTGTGGCCTCGGTGTTGTACCCGAGTCTCTTGGGTGTCTGTGTCTGAGCAGTTGTCCTGTGGGTGCCAGCCCAGGGGGGTTTGGGGCCGTGCAGGGGGGACAGCACTGGGGGCTGAGCAGCTGCTTTGGTTGAAGCTGCTCTTTTTTACAGCTAGTCATAATGACCCAAATATCAAATATTATTGAGACAAACTAATTTATGCATAAAATTGCATCCACATGTTCTGTTAAAGACAGCACAAGGGTCTGCAGCCACTGTGGGTGTGTTCTCTGCATGATGGTGTGTGAGAAAAGCTGACTTTACCCCCACTAATGTACATCTGCAAGGACTGTGCCCTGGCAACTGTCAGGACCCAAATGTACTCACAATAACCACCGAGATCCCTTTTTTGCTGCATGGCAGTGAGTAGTTCCAGGGGCCTGTTTCAGCAGCCGTAGCTTGTAGCATTTACCCAGTGAAGACCTGGGGCTTGCCAGGAACGAGGACATTTCATTATGTAAAATTAGAGCAAGAAATCTAGACATTTAAATACAGGTTAAAGTTCAGATTTTCATGTAAAATCTGGCTGATGTAAAATACTAATTATGCCAGGGATTGCTAAATATATCCTGTATGTTCCATTTCTGATATCTCGGCAAGTCAGGTTTTCAGGCTGACTCTGAAACACACGGAGCTGGTTTAATGGTTTGAAAGACTGTGTGGTTTTATCCCTCACAGCCACAGCCCTGGCTGGGACTGATGCCTCAACAGAGGTTACAGGCCCAGGGCAGAATTAACACCTTGAATTTAAAAGGCCTGAGCTGCACTGCAGCTCAATGAGCTCCACAGCCCCCTTGCATTCCCCCTCAAATGCTGGCAGGTTTTTTGAGGAAAGAAGGCCACTACTTTTTGTAGTTTAGAGGTTTATTCAGATCCTGACATACAAAGGTGCACTTCCCACTGACCCTGGTTGGGTGGACTTTTACAAGCTGAGGCAGGATCTGAGAAACTGGAGAATGGATTCCACTCCTGCCTGGTACACGGAGAATGTGATGAAAAATAATCCAGCCTGTGTCTGGGAGAAGCACCTTCCTGAGAATTCCCGGACTCCTGCCTGTTGTGGTGGATCACGCATCCAAACCTGCACCCAACTTCCAGCAGCTCTTCCTGAGTGGGGAACGGCCTTTGGGAAAATCTTTTTGAGAATTATGTGCATCAAAGAAAATTAAAAGGCTGAGGAAGGAATGAATCCACTGCCCTCCAGGGAGTAAAAGTATGAAAACAGAAAATTATTGGTCAATCAACCTTTCCACAGAAATCTCCTGTGAGAGAAGCACAGCACTTTTCAGGGAAACTCTCTAAGCCCTCAGAGAAGACCCAACAGAACATTTTTGTAGCTAGTGCTTGTTTTTGCAGTGAGAGTGTGTCAGGCACTTAAACAGCTCTTCAGCTCAAATGCCGGCACCTCAGAGGGAGCTCCTCTGCAGAGTGTGCTTTGTTCTTGTCATAGTCACAGCTTACACAGCTGGAGCCTCTAAATCTTTCCATGCTAGTGAGTCATACCTGACACCAGATTTAAGAACTTCTTAGTACATCATAAAGCATTGAATAAATAAAACAGGCTCCAACTTCTTCGACTTATTTCAGGAGCTATCCTATTTTCTTGTTATTTCTAGTGTCATACTCAAACCACCTCCTTCCCCATTCTCACACGTTTTCTGACAGAGAGAAGCCCAGCCTATGTAGATCTACACATCTATAGACAGATATGTGTATACAGAGATCTGTGTGGAAAGCTGATCCCTGGCAGTCCCAGGTCGCTCTGATGACAATTTCATGCGCAGCGGTCAGTATGGAAATGTAAGTCCGTAGCTCCTCCAAGGAGAGAACTGGTGCAGGGGATAAAAGTAAGAGAGGAATGCGGAGGAAAGGGGGTTAAAAGCATTACTGAGCAGCTTTTGAGTGAAAACGTGCAGGTTTGTGCACAGACAAATCACCTGCTGTGGGTGTGAGGGGACGCTCCTCCGCCGCCGGCCCCGCATCCCCGGCGCGGGGCTGACCCCTAGTGCCGGCCGGGAGCCTCACCGGGGTGACACTGGGCACACCGAGGAGTCACATCCAGTCACACCGAGGAGTCACACCGAGGGGTCACACCGAGGGGTCACACCCAGTCACACCGGGTCACACCGAGGGGTCACACCGAGGGGTCACACCCAGTCACACCGGGACCAGTTTGCCCCAAATCCTGCGCAGGAATTTCCCCCAGTGCTCCCTGTTCAGCTTTGTGCAGTGCCAGACCCAGCTTCTGCCCTTTTCTGATCCTTAGCTTCAGGTGAGAAAGGTGAGGGTGGGGAAAAAGCATTTATGGAGAATAAAACAGCACCGCTCCTGAGGGGACTTCAGTTTGCTCTTGTCTCTATTTCAGAGGAAGGCCCACTGCTCCCAGCCCATAAATCCTGATCCCAAGGGAATTAATTGTAAGTATTTAAATATATATGCATTTTCCCTTCATTAGTTTCCTCTCCCAAGTGACTGGTGACATGAAGAATTGTAATAGCAGTATGTATTTTTAGTGCATTTCCTGGAGATTTCTGCAAAGCAATCTAATTCCTGAGTGGCTTTAACTTGCCAGAAAGGCAGAATACCTCAGGAGCACTGGTAATAGGCAGAGTGGGTTCTTCTAATCTACTGTTTTAATGAGCTCCATCCATCTCTCTGATTAGAATAATCTCATTTATTTTAGCCAAGACATCTAGCTGAAATCCCAACAGAGGAAATTGGGATTTTGAGTCTTTCAGGGTGAGCACTTGAGTGTCAGGCAGCAAACTCCATAGGGAGATTTCCAGTTTGCCCTTTTATCATCTCAGAAATTTGTAACCCTGATGATCACATTGGAAAAGAACCATTTGAGCTGCAAATCTGCACCACAAATGGCATTGATGAGGGGCCATGGAGAGCCCATGCAAATCCTCTGCCCTGTTTGAAGCAATTTCCCTAAGAAATCAAACCCAGCCTGGTGCAGAGGGCTCAGCTTTCCTAGAAGGCTCCCATTTTCCCAGCAGGAGCAGAGAGAGCTCCACAGCTGGAGCATCCTCACCATAGTTGCAGCACAGTGGAACAGCCACACTTCTGCAGCCCCACCGGCACAACTGTGCTGGGCGCAGCAGCAGGGCAGGGCCTGCCAGTGCAAACAGAAACACCTTCCCCATGGAAGAGGAAATGGATTTTTTGTTTAAAAGATGGTGATGTTTTTCCAAGCCTGACAAATATGAAAGTCCCCATTTAAAGGAGTCGGACCAGCAGTGAAATTGGTCACTGTTTGCACACCCACGCACGGCCAGAGGCAGCCGAAAGCAAACTTCCTGGGGTATCCCAATCCAAATGACCTGGGAGCGAAGCACAGTGCCCCAAGCTGTGAGCCACCCTGCTGAGCAGCCACAGAAGGTTCTCTGCAAAATAGAAAACCCAGGCCCAAGAGGAGAGGCAGAGCCCAGGTGGTGTCACAGCCCCCACTTCCAAATTTGGAGCCTACAAGCTACAGCTGTGGCTGTTGGAAATCGGCCTGCAAGGAGGAGAGCAATGGGGACAGAAGGCAGAAAGCATTAGCAGGTGTTTTGGGAGGGTGTGGAGGGGAGAGCCAGGGGTTTTCCTCTGCTCCATCAGTTAGGAAAGCTATTTTTGCAGGAGCTCCTGGGGCACCAGACAAGGTTTGGATTGTTCCTGTGCTGGATGCTGGTGCAAGTATATGGGCAGACAGCTGGATCCTGAGGAGCTCCTGGCAGGCACATGAAGGGGTGTTGTCCACCTTGTCCAGGTGAGAGGATGTCTTGGTGTTGGGTCTGATTTTGGTTGGGAGTTCTTTGGAGAATTGAGTGTCTGCTGCTGTGATGGCTCTGGCGTGGGTGTCAAGGCATATATGTGCCCGTAACATGCCACGTGCTTCACCAGTTACTATGGTATCTGTTAATTCCCTGCTTCTGAACTGGTGTGTGACCTTTTCCATGAGACATCCCATATGCATGACCTGGCTGTTGCCACCTCAGCCACAGTGCACGTGTCCAAGCTGTGGGGACAAGCCATTCCCCATCCTGTCCACTCACCTGTGGGCAGGGCCTGGTCTCAGGGCGTTTCAGACCAATCTGTCATCTGTGTATTTAGGAGATGGGTTGGTGCTGGGTAAACTGAGGCTTGGAGGGGTTTGGCTCGTGGCCATGTAGGCAGCCAGGCCAGAGCCCAGGCATCATTGCCAGGAGATGTACCTGGAGCTGAGGACATGACTCTTGTGCCATCTCCCCCCTCTGGATGCCTCTGGACCCTTTTGGGCCCCACGTGCCAGGTCGCTGCCGGTGCCACTGGGTCTGGGTAATCTTTGTATTTGCTGACTTAATTGTGGGTCGGTGCAGAGCTCAGCTCTGGGGAAGCTGAGGTATGGGGAGGCCCAAACCACACACAGTGCTCGGGTAGGGATTGTGATAAAAAAAAAAAGAAAAGTTCAAAGGTGTTTTTGGCTTAATGCGGTTTATCTAGATTGCTTTATGTTCATTAATCTGGATTAACACAAATTCTCTTGGAATGGCTGGCTGGGGAAGGGTTTGCTCAGCTGTTCCAACAAGGACAGACTTTTTCAAAAGTGAAAAGTTAGAGCTGGGAAAAAAAACCCCAGGTCTTCCCTGGCATGAATACATGCAACCCCTGCTGCCCACATCCAAGGGCCCCTTCGAGGGCTGTCGGGTGTCCTCAGCCCCTGTGTACTCTAATGACTGATCAACCTCCCCTATTGCCACAGAGGATTAATGCCCCCCATTCTTCCTGGGATGATGTGAACCCCTTTTTCAGCCAGTGTGCCAGAGCTGGCACAATTAGTTAGTGAACTTCAAGGTAAACTGGAGGTCAAGCCCAGATTTGAAGGTGGTGGTGGGTGTGAGCATGACCCAGGGAGCCATGTGATGTGGGTGACATCCTGGAGAGGCAGGTGATCTCCCCGTCCTCTCCTTTCCCCAGGGCT